ATCAACAAATTCTTTCAAGAACATCCAGGCTAGTGAGCACTCCTCAGGACCTGGATAACTCTCATGTTCTGGAACTGACGTAAAAGACTATCGGCTTACTACAACCCCCAAATTTCTCCCTCACTTCGGACTTGAAAGGCTGGAAGACTGAGTTATGCTTCGAGCCATGTCACTTGGCACAACATACATACCTGCATTCAAAGCTCACGCAGCTTCCCACTGGCAGCCACTCACTGCACTGCCCACGCGCAATAATCGAGACATGAAAAGCAAAGCAAATGTTCCGTTTCACCTGATTAATTTAATTACCGACAATGCAACCGACACGCCCCAAAACATGTTATAATTGTAACTGGATGATTTTGAAATATTACGACCAGAATAAACACCCACAAAAGAGTGACCAAGCCAGTCCAGTCCACTAAATTGCTGCTGGTGGTCCTCGCCAGCACAGTCATTCTTGGTTTCGGTGCCCGTAGGAGCCCATGACCATATTTTCGTTCTTTCCAAGACTTTTGTGTTTTGAAATGGGGCCTCCTCTTAAACGAGGGGAGGGTCTGACTACTATTGGTCACTCCCCTTCTACTGGGGAGTCTGGCTATCACTGGTTTGGCTATATCAGTCGGTCGGTCGGTCGGTCGCGGTGAAACTTCTGCTGAGAATTCAACGAAAATTCTCATCTGCTCCACTACTTTCTCCCGTATTCCTTTCCATTGCTTAAGATGAGATGAGACCGACTTCTAACGCTATCTCTCACGAATACCACGCATAAATAGTCAATTGTAAACCACCTTCTTTATGTAGTATACTACTGCACATGCGGCAGGGCATGTAGCACGAATGGGAAGAAGAGGAATACATATAGGACATTGGTGAGAAGGCATGAAGGAAAGAGACCAATAGGAAGACCAAGACGTAGACGGGTGGATAATATTAAAATTGATCTTAGACAGAATTTATCTGGCTCAGGATAGAGACTAATGGAAGGCTCTTGTGAACACGGTAATGAACCTTCGGGTTCCATAAAATGCTGGGAAGTTCTTGAGTAGCTGACCGACTGGCGCCCTCTCGAGTAGGGCTCAGATCCGTGAAGTTAGTTCTACATTGCACCAGAATATTATCAGTACCCAAGAACTGACAAGACATACTGTAACAAAAGACTGCTCTCTCCTCCGTGACCTATTGCCAAATTTGAAACATGTTAGCTCTCGACACTTCGTTGCTATGGTAACCTGAAGATGCCCAATTTCAGAGCTTTCATCTCAATAATAATAATAATAATAATAATAATATGAACGATCCAAACAAAATCTCTCCCTCCTTCAATTTCAATTAGCACTGAGATTCGAACTCGGGGCTCACATAACAACTGAATTCAACTATCAACTTCCCCGACTCAACATTCACGTAACCATATATGTGTATATTGATGTGAAATAGGCCACGACAGCCGTTTACATATCAGCCGCCAAATCTGCTTTTAAATCAAATTTCAATTTAACCTGCAAACACATACAGTCGATTCAGAGCAATTAAATAACCTTATTAACAACACTTCCATCATATTTCCAGTTCATCACTCGTGCTGCCCGTACAGGCAGAGGTAATGCTGTCCCTGTGCCTAAGTACCACGATATGAGGAAGTATGGGGGAGTGGAGGTATGGCTCCAGGCATTATTGACCTCGGCAGAGATGGAACTGAGTGGTCTCCTTCATGATCCAGCAGCTTAAACGCATGGAGACAGCCACCGGTATGTGGCTGCACCTCACAGCCGGGCTGCACACATGAAGAATACAATAATCTCTCGTTCCTGAGTCCGGCTACCGCCTGCTTCTTCTGGTTTACTGAGACGCTTACTGACCAACCCTGAACACGGAGGCGGTGTGTCACCCGAAACGTCGGCATCTCTCTGAACTACACAGCGACAGAACGCAGGATACCATTCACCGCCGTGATAACCTCATAACTAGCACCAGAGTAAGAAATGTCGCTACCAAAAACAGGCCACGACGCGTCCTTCCATGTTATTTCGACTTCTCTGCTTACAGAACCCGATTCCCACTTAAAATAGCCAGTGCTGATTTATTTACTTACTTATGATTTGCTTGACGCTGATAGTCGTTCACACTAAACGGCGTCAAAATAGAGAACGATTAATGAATTATGAATTTAAAGGATGTGGAAGGAAACGGTAGTGTTCTATTTTAAGATATCCCGGCTTTGTCAGCTTTGACTGAGGAAACCCATGAAAACCCTCAGCCATGACAGTCGGTATCCCGGCATAGAGTCCCGAGTACAAGCCATAAGATTTCCTGCCTGAGCCTCCTTGTACGGTTTAACTTGTGCAGCTGATACAGCGTCGTCACAAAACTTAGTAGCCAATCAAGTAGCCTTGCGTCCCACTGGATTTTAAGTAACTCATTCCTGCATCTCGTTTAAAGTGGATCATGAAGGGTTAATATTAAGCAAGGGGGACGAGGAACGCAACCACCCTTCTGCGGCCACCCCGTTTCCAATTACCAGTGGACCAAAATTACGAAGGAAGAAAGTAACAATTACTTCACGGTTCATTGGCGTGAAAGTAACACGAGCCAGCAGCGCACTGAAGCCTATACAGATTGTCACTGTCACGTGACTCAGTTCGGACCTTCAACACTTGGGCCTTGAGACCAGCTATCCTGAGGTTTACCTGAGCACCTTGGGACAAATGCCGAGATAATACCTCAAATCAGTCCACACCATTTCTAGTTCCTTCTTCGCTACTCATCTCTAGTTTGCAGCTGTACTCAATTAAACGTCACGCCCTGAAGACGTATGTGCGAGTGGAGGCAAAATTCCAAGCATTTTTTAACATTAACCTCAATCCTGAAGCTGGAGGCAGTGCGTTCCTCCGAAACGTTCGTACACTTCTATCAAGACTGTGTCACGCCCCAGACGTTAGGGTTCTCAGTATTCACCATAACTTATTATACAGTGCGTACAATCAAGTGCGCGCCGCGGCTGCAATTTGCCGTGAGTCATACCACCGCAGAACGGATGCAGTCGCGGGGAGTGTTGCAACTCCTGTATGTCCGTACAGATCTCGAAAGGGCTCCGCTGTATCGAGTTAATTAGCCACCTAGTCAGTCAGTCGGTCTGTTTGTTTGTTTGTTTGTTTGACGGACGGGCCGGCGGAAAGATTAGATAGGTAGGTGGGTGGGTTGGTCGGTGGATAGACGGACAGACAGACGAACGGACGGACGGGCAGATAGACAGATCTGCCGACTTGTTAGGGCACGTTCATGTTTTCATACTCTACAGATTGCATCCTGTTGTGTGGTGTATGATATCTACTGGCTATGCCCGTCAACACAACCACACGATACGGTGTTTGTATGTTAACACGACGCTAACAGAAGATATATAAGAGGGTCTCCAAAATTGTGATTTCAACGCACATTAAGAGTCAGCTCCATCTAAAAATGTATTCATATCTGTCAAACACGACGTATCCAGCATCAGTCCTCGAGACTGAATTAAAAAGAACAAGAGTTACTCTGAATCCATTTCTTTACATAACCCTCTGAAGCCTGGAAGACAGAGGCAGTTTGTCTGCGTCTAGCTGCAACCGTCAGTACAAGTTTTGTGTAGCATCAATACTGGAACCAACATGAACCCTGGTTTTATGTCAATCAGAAAATGTGAATAGTGTTATTCGGCTCTCTCTGTCATGCTGGTCTCCTCGGAAGCCCCAAAATCAGTTCCTACCTCACAGGAAACATTACTACGAAGACCAACTCGTTAATGGTGTTTGAGTATATACATACGTGCTGCTTATTCTGATAATCGGACGGAACACATAAATACATTGTGTAAGATTTGAGGCTTTCACGGCGGTGACTATGAAGAAAGCAGTCTTCTGGGATTTGTCACCGTGTATATGTGGTGTTAACCGACGTTTCGGAGGAACGTATCGCCTCCATCCTCAGGGTAGAAGGAAAGATATAAGAAATACCCTGAAGATGGAGGCGATACGTTTCTCCGAAACGTCGGTTAACACCACATATACACGGTGCCAAATCCCAGAAGACTGCTTTCTACATAAATACATTGTCTGAACAAAATGCTGATTCTTTTTAATGTTTAAGCAGATAGCGTCTTTACATCATTTGAAGCCTGAACCATTTGCAGCCACTTGGTGATTTGGCTAACACAGTTCACGCGATGTCCTTGTTTTTGCACAGTGGTCAGGACGCAGGTAAATCAACAAAGCGAGAGGATGCCGGTGCGGTCATAATGGTACCATATCTGAACATGATGAGACAGAAAGGAAAGAAATATTTGTGAGAGGGTAAAGCGTTGGGAAAGAAATATACTTTGTTGTGAGCAGAGGGAAAAAGTTTAGATGGCGGTCTTACTGACTGTGATGGGGGTAAATTATGTTAACGTTGGGTGGAAGGGGGGCTGCATGTGAATCATGTAGTGTAACGCCAAATCTTGGGTACCAACTCAGTATTTGTTCTAGGACTGAGGAAAATCACGGCAATCCTTGATAGATTTAACCAGTCGCAGGACATCTCTGATGCAAATTGACTTCTAGCCAGTAGTCCGAGATTTAAATGAGCAGCCCTTAAAATTAGTCCCTGTTTCTATCGCTGTTTTATTTTGAAAACTTTTACATGATTGTCTAACAAACTTTCTTTGGCGTGTAAAGGGGTTTGGAAACATTAACTTCATTCAAGCAATACTCCACTGATGACACACACAAACTCCAACCGGTTAACGCTGTTAACACATGGGTACGCTACGTGTGGAAAACTCATAGCTTTTCAATTACAATGCAGGCTGTGCATGCAGTAAACTCTGGGACAGCGGATTAAAATGAGGCTGCATGGGTCACCTGTACGGGGGTGAGACGTCATAACTATGAGATCAGATTACAGTCAGAACTTCAACAGAAGATGACAGTTGATTACGCGGTCCAGTGACACGGAAACATAACTTGAATGGGTTTGCCTACCTAGATTGTCACAGATGACTACTGGAAGGGCCGCAAATACCAGCAGTAGAAGGTATACCATCCACCAGGAGGGGGGCAGTGTCCCCAGGGGCACTCTCAACTTGGACACACAAACCACGATACACATCACCTTTGTTACGCCACCAAAACATATACAATTGAAACCACATAAAAATTTTAACAACAACATTATCATGCAACAAATAAACTTTTAAAAGATATGTTTTCAATATATTGTGGAAGCAGACATTTCAGCTGCAATAATTGATTAGTTTAGACCCAAAGTAATCCACACAGCGCACACCATGACGGAAGCTGTCACTGACAGGTGAAGCTCGCGACACGGAACGATCACATTCGATTGTTTCAGTGCGGCAATCCGACCGCTACTGATTCCGTGAGCAACGCGCGTCCAGGACAAGCGAGAGCTCGCTCGCAGCTTCCCACCCCTTCCGCCAGGATGCGCTCCAGCAGCTGAACGCCTAGTCCAAACATTTCTGAGTCCGAGGGCCCAAACTGTCACGCCAAGAATATCTTGGCTTACTTATTGAAAACCAGAGATTGGGCTAAATACAGGGCTACGTTTACTATAAAAACATATTTGTCCCTGTGTTCAATAAAGTACCACGCCAATAAGACACTAGAGGAGTGGAGAAATGGCTCCACGAAAATCTTCATAGAAGATGAAATGAGTGGTCAGTTTCAAGCACCTGTCGCCTTGCTTTCATGGAAAGAGCTCCAGATTCCCATCCGACAAAGTCTTCATAGGTCCCAGAGCTGTTCTGGAGGCTGTGGAGAAGAGAAAAATCTATACCCCTACCGGGCATGGAACCACGATTCCCCAGTGGTACAGCCCGGAGCTTAGTCACTATAGTAATTGAGATATCCAGGTTTCAATTTACTATAAGACCATTGAAATGAACGGAAATTGCTCGACGACATCACCGAGCACCAATATCAGAACGGGGGTGTGATGATTGTTTAACGACGCTCTGGAAGTGGCAGAAGTCCATTAGCGTGTTAATAAGTCGGCAAGAAACTTAGGAATGTGGGGAAAATGAAAATACAGGACGTATATAGAGAAAGAGACAAACGAGAGTAAATAAGCGCCTCCGTGGAACAAGACCCATCTTCAGAAGCTAAGAGTCAAGAAATTTCCCGCATTTTATGGACCCCNTCTTCGACGAAAATGTTTATGCATATCTCGTCTGTTCCTTGCGTGCTAAGTGCACCGTTTATCTAAAGGAAGACAGAAGGAGAGCTGGAGGAATCGTGAAGACTGCAACAGACTTCGTTGTATCGGGAGGTTCTGTGGCCGAGCAACTAGCAACTTCCTGTAGCGCATCACACTGAACTGAAGATAAGATTCTAGAACAGGGGTAGGGGCCAGAAGGGAACAGTTAAATTGATAAGAGCGGTGGATGAAGTTAAGGGAGCGGAAATCGCGAATGTGTGTGGCACCAATAAACCCCTTTCCAAGCAGACGATTCGAGGGGTCGTTTCATATTTCAAACCCCGCCTTTGATATCGACTATGTGAACCCGTCGGGTGGGAGATGGTATTTCATTAGCCTAGTGGAGCGAGATCTGAAGTCAACATTTCCGCTTTCTGCTTAGTCAGAGCGGTAGACCGTCAGTCCGGAGTTCGAAACCTCTTAACTCCTTTAATGAACAATGATAGTTACAACATACTTTGTGGCCCTGCCATTGTGTCGAAACTATATAGCTTCGATGGTATGGTGATTAATGAACACAGAGCAGCAAGTGAGATGAGAACTGGTAGGGGAAACCGAAGTACTCGGAGTAAACCTGCCCCGTGCCATTTTGTCCACCACAAATCCCACATGACCTGACCTTAAAGAGGATACAGCCTTACTTTGAGGAACGTCGGGCAGTCTGGTATATATTTAGAAACGTTTCGGAGTAATCCTCTTCAGTGTAGTTTCGGCGTTCCAATTTACACACCCCCAAAAAAATTACCGTTACAGTCACTGCCCTGGGAACCTCAAATGGAACATCCTGTAATTTTTTCGTGCGAAATTTAGAGACAATTTTTGAGTGACGAGACAACAGCATCGGATGATAGAATGACTTATGAATAATGAATTGGAAAGGATTTGAAAGGAAGCAGTCGAGGCACAATTTAGGGTACTATCAGGGAATGTTCATGGAGAAACAGAGGAAAACCATGAGAAAACTCACGGTAGCTAGTGCCCAAGCAGGGATTCGAACTGAGCACCTCCAAGATAAAACCTAGGATGTTACCGCCATCTCAAAAACAGAACATTCTTGAAACGTTGAGTGACACAAGCGAGCGGATGCATGTGCCAAGTTAAACTAGATCAGAGTTATTGGTAGGATTAATCTGGCTCAAGACAGAACCCAATGGCGTGGTTCTTAATCCACCGAGGCACTTCCTATACACTGGGAACTGAATCTTCTGTATACTTAGATACATAATTACTTTGTTTATTGTTCTGTATGCGAGTATGTTGGCCGTGTCATAGCTCAAGCGGTTACGCCCGGCTTCCCGCAGCGGCGGCCCGGGTTCGAGCCCGGGTCGGGTTATGTCGGATTTGTGGCGGGAAATTTGGCATTGGGGCCAGGTTTTCTCCAAGTACTTCTGTTTCCCTTGCCCATTCGCATTTCACTGACTGCTCCACATTCACCATTATCTATCATCCGGGGGGGCGGGTACAATAGGTCGAACAGTGGACTCATGAGAAAAGAAGCAGTAAGTATGTTACCTAGCTTCAGCTCGGCGCTAGCTGCTAGCAGCGTCCTGAAGTAACAAAAAACTTAACAGAATTAGTTCAGTACGATTTGGACGGACTGTACTTGCAACCTCGGTCCCAAAACAACATAAGTGCAGCGAATGAAGTGCAAAGAGGAGAAGGAGACAATAATACAAGTGAACACAAGCCAAAAGAGAAGTTCCGACCGGCCGACGGACCGCCCTAATGCCCTGGTGGAGGAGATTCCGACTTTAAAACTTTTAGAATCTTGTAGGAGGCTTCTAAGGGAGACTGCCGCTTTACAAACCCTACCTCCATAGGGACACTGGGTAATCGATGTCGAAGATGGACTAACAAGAACAAAGTCGATAGGAAGTCGACTGAAATGGGAATAGAAGAACAGGGTGAATAAAACGTAAAGAGAAAAATAGAAAAGTAAGGCGATGAGAATGAGGAAGGAAAAGGATACAAGGAATAGAAATGAGAGGAAAATAAGAGAGAGGCCAGTAGAAGAACAAAGCAAATAAATAAGGAAAAAGATGATAAAAAACTAGGAATAGTAAGTACTAGAAAAATTAAAGGAAATATCCAGTGTATAATAACAAATGTAACTTTCCTGTTCCTTACTGCGGGCCTAACAGAGAACATCCAAATACGAGTATACTGTCACGTGTTCATGGGAGTGACTGTAGGCGGGGTTTGGATTGGTGAATGGATTTATCGACCACTTATACACGTAACTCGGAACTAAAAGCAATTACAGCGTTATCGTTGATCTCCACACTTTATGTTAAGTCCTTTCCCAGCCTGCTCTGTCTCCAACAGCCGTTACGTAGCAACTGCTTCTAAGAGTGGAGATTCTTCAGCTTCTCGTGCTCAGGTCGTTATTGTTTGGCGAATATCCCGCGACTGAACTCACTCAGCCGGCCTGGGGTCCTCGCTATATAGCCTCGGGACAGACCCAAAAGAAAACACCAGCTCCAATAATTTTTCTATTGTCGTTATGGCCGATTGCCTAGCGAAAACATGGATATTGTTAACGCGTTTACCGGACGCTTTCAAGCAACGCATGTTCCTCCACGCGATCACTGCATAGCAACGGCACTAGAGGCTACAAGATTCTTGAAATTTACTCCATATTCTTCCAAATACGCGCGCTAGCCATGGCCTTTAAATTGATGTCGATGTATTGCGGTGCAACTTTCGGGTGTGATACGAAACCTCATTCCAAATTTATTATCATTAATTATACTAGTAAACTTTAATTTCGTAATTTAAGGGTTTACTCCTTCTCTGAAATCTCAGCTGCTGCAGTGCGGTCGTTAAGCCGAGAAAGAGACAAATTTTCAGATGCTTCCATCGCTCTTAGTTTGCTTTTGTTTCCGTGAGAGCACCACACGTTTCTTTCCTGTTCCTTTACTGCGTGTTATAGCTCGATTACTATGTGATGGCACAAACTTACGGGAAGGAGAAGTGAAGAGGAAACTGTACTGCGAAGTGGGTAAGGCCGTTACAAGCCACTCCAAAGCAGAAAGCATCTGTCGGCAGCGAACTCAGTTATCTGCCGCTCATATCTGCTGTAAGAGAATATGCACTCGTCAATTCCTCCGAGAGACGAAAACTGTCTTCTGCGCATGTTCCATCACACTGTAATCGAGCTCTATATCCTCTTGTCAATTGTGCGATTTTATGGTCAATCTGTATATCATGTGTTAACGGCGACGAAAGCCACCATATCCCGGGCGAAACACGAGTTCATCTTCTTGCGAGGAATACATAGGTTTCAGAAGATGGGGACGATTAAGCACTATGCCATAGCTCAGGCGGTTAGTCGCTGGCTTCCCACAGCAGCGGCCTGAGTTCGAGCGCGGGTCTGGCATGTGGGATTTGTGGCGGACAAAGTGGCGCTGGGGCACGTTTTTTCCGAGCACTACGGTTTCCCCTGCCAATATTTATTCCGCCGACTGCTCCTCATTCTTCATCATCTACCATCAGAGCCTGCTACAATAGGCCAAACAGTGGCGGATGAACCAAGTGGACTCAAGTCTCACCCCACACTGAAGAAACTAAAAAATTAGGAAAAAGGAAAACAACAGAAAGAGGAATAAGGCGATAGGATTAAGTTAGCAAGAAGGTACTAATGAAACAGTTATTTAGAACTGGCTTTAGAAACGACAGAAGGGTGTGGCAAAATATGCATAAGCATCAGAAATACCCGTCTTTCCCCCGGGGCATGGTTGTTTCCATTGTCAGTGTCACAACGTATAGTAGCTACAACCTTAAAGAAGGAATAACATTCAAATTTAGAAGTTACGATATCCTTGTGTAATAAAATGATAGGTTAGGAACAAGGGTTCGATTCTCATCCCAAAACTTTACCATAATACTTTAACATCGTCTTAAAAGCCGTGTCACCGTACATATTGGCAAGAGTACGGAGTGAATTTCGTAATATCTTTTCATGTTCCCTGTTTCAGCAGCCAGTGGAAACGGGAATCTGACAGGAATGCAAGACAGACCAGCTCTGCGGGAAACTGACGTTGACGTTTCAGATACGAGGACATGCTAGGTTCTTATGTCATTTTTTCACTACGTGAAACG